TGATCACACGCCACACCTGAATAGAAATCTATGAGTCTGCTGTCCAACGACAACATGGAGGATATCGTATGAAGAGAAAATGAAAGCCCATGGACAGTCATGAAATCAAATGAAAGTGATAGTAGGGAAGTGAGTAAAATGGAGTTCAGCTGCAGAAGCCCTTTATTCCATTTACAACGTAAAGAATGGGTAAGAATAACAGATAATAATAGTAATATTCAACTCATAAGTAAAATTTTAAAAATCAAATAGGTAAATAAAGTCACCTTCAGCCTATTAAAATGTGTAGAAGGTTACATACGAATGAATCTTCTTGTCCCTCACTGACTCTTTTTTCTTCCTTTCTTTGTATTATTCTTCTTCTGTTGACTTCAACACTCTACGCATCATCAATCACATTATCAGCAGAAAAATAAACAACAAATTATTAAAAGATTACCTATTCTCATTCCTACACTTCTCTTAATCTATAAATAATTAAAAATGTTTTCAGTAGGTGGCTGAAAAAGCAAGTGAAACAGACGACTGTTGTTTCCTCTGTCTCTAATGCCTTTTTTCCACCTAATTTTCATTGTCTCAGTGTATGTATAACCATTTGATAAATAAGGAAATAGATGGTTAGCCGACTGAAAAAAAAATCACAAAACATGCAATGTAATGAGAGCTGACAAAACACTGTCCATGATTATTCACGTGTGTATACATATAAATTATGACCGCTACTCTCTGATGAAGACATTACTTTACACACTGCTTATATCTATCTACTTGTAATTAATTGCATAACAGTCGTCACTGAGATGGGTTTCCTGTAATAATTAATCATATTTTGCTCTGGATATCGATTTACCTATTTATCTGGTTAGTTAGTGAGTGGTGAGCGGCTGATTGATCAGTAATGTTCAGCCTGAATCACTTTAGGGATGAAATCTTGGATTTTTAACCTAGTTACAAGAGGCACACATTCACTATTCACTTACCAGTCTGGAATGTAATCGATTGTGGCGAAATAAGACTTAAATTCAATCAAATCACCATAAATTCCAATGTTCAGTATAAAACTTGGGCACTGTGGTAGAGTATAAGTCCATTATAGATAAGATTTTATTTTGATAAATCACACAGTGTTGTACAGTAATATTTACTGATGACGAGGTTTCGAGCACAAATTATTGCCACTCATAATCACATCAAGATGTGTGAGTGACTTGATATGATTATGGCAATAGTTTGTGCTCGAAACGTCATCAGTTAGTATTACTACATAACACTGTGATTTATCAAAATAAAATCTTATCCATAATGACGTTCCACTCTACAGTATTTAACGTATCAACAGTTATTACATTTTCTTCAAGATGCCTTGCTTAGAGATTTAAAGGGGGAGTCATGACCCGAAGGGTCCTATTTTTAAAAATAATTTTAGGGACATTTATTCACTGACATGTATCACGAAGAAATCCACTATTTTATCTGAGATTATGAAATAATGAAGATTTGAAGCTCATGTGAATGAATTTGAATAAGTTGTGTTCTCTGAGGTGGTTGAACTGAAGATGTTGTCTAGAAGGACAATGGAAGCTTTGCAATTAAATCCAGTAGCTGAGACAACACAACTAATTCAAAAATTATCTGAGATTAATTCAATCGCTTCCACAAGAGGTGCTTAGGCACAAACTGGAAGGAAGGAATCTAATTTACCCGACCCGAAAACTAATATATATATATATATATATATATATATATATATAATTTCATATATTAGATTTCGTCATGAACCAGCATCATTCACAGAAGTCATTGAAAACCAGGAGACACTGGACAGCTGTTTCATCCCAGCCTGGGATACTTCATCACTGTGCACCCACGACGCCGTCGAGAATCAAACCTGATGCTTTCAGGTTACGAGACCAAACTCGCTGAAATCTCAACCACTTGGGCCGCAACTTGGTGACTCATGAATTCTGACTTTCTAAGCACATAGAATACAGCTACCCCAACCAGTGCCTTCGAAAATCAACCATGTCAACTTGACATGGTGAACTCCAACGGTCACGACTGTTCATTACAGCTTCAGAACATCCATCCAGTAGCCAGTCCAGTGCTCCCAGGTTTTCAGTGACCTCTTTGATATTGGTTCCGGATGAAATCTAATAAATTAAGTTATCTTGTCAAGGATGTTCATTGCATCATTTTCGTTTTTCATAACCAGAAATGTATCATCCATATATTGACAGTAGAAATTCAACTCATTAATTAGTCCTTTCAGTGGTCCATTCTCTAACTTGGCAAGGAAAAAATCATCTAGGGTTCCGCATTAGTTCCGTCCTAGCTGATTTTTTCCTTGCTAAGTTAGAGAATGGACCACTGAAAAGACTAATTAATGAGTTGAATTTCTACTGTCAACATATGGATGATACATTTCTGGTTATGAAAAACGAAAATGATGCAATGAACATCCTTGACAAGGTTAATGATGCCCATTAAGCAATAAACTTTATTATAAATTAATTTGATCAAAGCTTTCACTAATCCCATAATCAATATGCTAATTATCAGCTATAATATTCAGTCATTTATCAGCTTTTGCGGTCGTATATGAACTTTACAAGTTAGAGCTACTCATAAATTTCGGAATCTCACGCTTCCCCAATCGACACTAAGTTATGGGATATTGTCTAAATTCTGTTGAAATAAACCGATTGACAGTTCGATCTTGGCTATTTTTGTCTACATTAGATGAATAATTTATCTTCTACTAAAATGTTGTTCGGTTTTCACCAAGCATTTGTTGCACATAAGCAAAGACTAAACTAAACTGAAATAGTAAGTGCTGGGTTAGAGTTCCACTTGGAAAATGAGTGTTAAGAATTGTACCGTAATCATCAGTTTCGTAATAGGTTTTCGAAAACGGAAATGTAAAGAGAGCATAGTTCACTGCTAAGATAAAAGTATTCCATCCCTGACATTTAGTCACGAGAGAATTTCTTTGTTACCAGATTACTGCGAGAATTTAAAAGGAACGTGGATAAATTTTCAAGTATTGTTTTTATATGGATTTTTGTTTGTTTGATTGGTTGGAGGATTTTATCATGATCTGACATCAGTTAGAGAACCAGTAGAAAACCTGGGATTACTGGATAGCTGTTTCGTCTTAGTTTGGGACTCTTCGGCCGTGACCAGTAGGGTGCAGCAGGTTGAAGGTGAGGCAGTAACTATTTTAAGAAGACACTTCTAAGTAGTCGCACTATGACATGAATTGGCAGAAGTTGGAATTCACGAGCTGGCCACTGGACCGCGTCTCAGCGACTTAATGGTCTACGAGCTAGCTCGCCTTGTAACCAGAAGATCCTGGGTTCGAACTCTGGCGGTGGGTGCGTACTGATGAAGATTCCCAAACTAGGTCGAAGCAGCTGTCCATTACTTTCAGGTTTTCCGATGGTTCTTTAGCTGATATCAGCTCATGATGAAATCCTCCAACCTATTAAACAAAAGTGGATGAAGATAAGCCAAAAGTAATCCCTTGTTCTCTATCCTCACACTAATTCTTATAATAATTCATTCGTTAACCTTTCCAGTGTTGAGTTATGGAAATTTCATAGACTTTAAGATTGGTTTCGTCACAAGCCGACGTCAGTCAGAAAATAGATGAGAACTGGCATGTACTGCAAAACTGTTCGTTCTACTTTGGGACTCATCAGTAGTGCGCACCTACAACCCAATCAGGTTTCGAGTTCATGACCCTGAGGCTACGAAGCAAGCCTGTTTCGAATTTAGTGATCAGTTATTTCTAACTTCTAGTATCATCCAGTAACATCTAGTATCATAGACGATTGTCCATCCTGGCGACAGATTTGCTGGAACTCATCGGTCCCAACTTCTGAATAAGTATTTTGTTTTATTACGCAATTTCTATGTCTACAATTATTCACTGTTATAATAACTCCTCGTTATTTTGATTAAAATTCATTAAAGTGAGCAGTCTTGGACTTATTCTGCCGTTCAAAATGTTCATCATTTGTAACATCATTTGAAACTTTAATGAGATATTTTATGCAATTACTATTGTACAAGTATAGCGAAAATCGTCTAATAGAGTTTTTTCGCTAAATCATGTGTCTTACCTTATCGGCTTACTTGCTTAGAACTTTGAGACTTACCTTTATATTGTTGTTTGGTGGGTGGTGACCAGCAGCCGAGTCCAGGTTACGCATTCGGCCCTACTTGAGATTTGTCTGTTGGATATACTTCTAAGGTGAGTGGTGGCGTTCCCGCTGAGACTCAAACACAGCACCCATCATTTCAAGCTCCAAAGAGTTATTCACTAGGTCATCTGGACCAAGAAAGCCACTTTTGTACAACTTACATTAGTTGATATTTATTTTCAAGTCAGTTGACTGGACAAAAAGTGGGGTCTCTGTTAGTATGTCATTTCCTCATACAGACTATTCAACCGTGTCTGAACGCTGACATGGTGATATTTTTATTGATGTTAGTTAACACGTTGACATTCAGACATCAACTTCACCAAGATGACATAGAACAAACAATCATGTCACTAGTCATGAATGCAGTGTAAGTTTCGCTTCCGAAGTGATCTCCTTATATGACCTATCTTCTTTTGATATTAGGAGTTAGGCTACATGTTTGAATTCAGATCTAGGATTACGGTTCAGGGTAACGCTAAATCCATCTACTATGGAGTCTGCAAATTAAATATATAATTTATCAACATACTCAGGAGTTTTTACAGTTCTTTATTCGGTAACTGTCATGGTTTGTCTTCACCCAAGAAAGCTCCTAGTTCAAAGTGATACAATGTCTAATTCTACCAAGAATGCAACTGTTTCGTAAACCCAGTTATGAAGTCGAGTAGTGCTGTGAATTAAAAACCATTTTTAACATCAGAATAACTTATCATTAACTATGTATTTCTCCATTTTTAGAGTATTTTTTATTCTCCATCTTATATTTACCTTTTTCTCCACTTCCGATTTCAGGTCTTTTTTCATATTATCTGTGTAGATAATCCACAATCCCAGTATTTCAGACCATCTCCTTCTTCGCCTTCTGCCGCTGCATCTATCAGCGCTTTTTCTTCCTCCGCTTCCTCGTCAATGAAACATACTCAGTCAATTTATCAAACAGGTGAATATACAAGTCAGTATTTTCGTCAGTCTCCTACTCCAACCTTATCCTATTTCACTCGATCAAAAATTGGTAGTAATAACAATAACAATAATCAGTTAACAGGAACAGCATTAGTTCGTGTATTCATCGCTGATGACAATGACAATAAGCCACAGTTTACACGTGATGAGTACACCTTTTCAATAGATGAAATTGATGCATTCAATAACAGAAACACTGATTCATCTCAACAACACCAACAGACTACATTACCGAATCCAATTTTAATTGGTAAAGTAACAGCTAGTGATAAAGACACTACTGGTCAGTTGAAGTATTTCATTCCAGTGGGAAATGATGACAACAATAATGTGGAAAATAGTAATAATAATAATAAAGCTTTAACAGCCTTCAGTGTACATAATACAGATGGTAGTATTTACGCTAATCAATTATTTGATCGAGAAGATATAATAGAAAAGTATAAATTAAACGAGAAAATTTCAAATTCACCGCTGCTGACAATTGAAATGAATTCAGCAGATCAATTCGTTTATTTATGCTTTCCATTATATGTTACTGATGGTTTATATAATGCGAGTACAAAAATTCGTGTACTTATCAATGATATTAATGATAATTTACCGATATTTGAAAAAGCCAATTATGAATTTAATGTTGTTGAAAATGAACAACCAATGAAAGGTATACCGATTGGTGTTATAAAAGCCAGTGATTTAGATAATTCAGGTAATGAGAATATCATTTATCAATTATTTGATATTGATTCACCAACAATACTGTCGTCGTCAGCATTTTCATCCTCTCTATCGTCAAATGTGTCATCAATGCTGCAACACGATCCAATTCAGAATCTTCAACATTTAGCCAACACCTATTTCACCATTAGTATGACATCAGGTCAATTACATTTAATACGTAAATTAGACAGGGAGTATCAAAGTCATCATATATTCTATGTGTTAGCTATTGATAACCCATTGCAAAGCTCACGATACACAAATACAGCTAGTAAATTAGGTGAAGCATACAAGACAATTCGAGTGAATACAGCAACAGCGACAGTCACAGTTATCGTCACCGATGTCAATGATAATCCACCGACTATAACTTATCCATCACCGCATGAAATTATTAATATTGAAGCTGGTGCACCAGCTGGACATAATTTATTCACTGTACTTGCACAGGATCCAGACGCTGGTGAAAATGGTACAATCAGATTTAGTTTAACTACAGTCAGTTATACATCGAATAATAATATCAATAATAATAATAATAAATTACTAACAAGTAATACAGGAAATCAAACAGCGAAACTTTTAAAAGACGCTAAAATCTCATCAGATTTATTTACAATTGATGAGACCAGTGGAATAGTCTTTTTAACAGATAAACTTACGGATTATTCAGCAAATTATTTAGTTTTAATTACAGCACAAGATATGGGATATGCAGTTCAACGGAAGACTACAACAACTGTAACTATTCGAGTCCAGGTGAGTGTGACGCTCATCTTTAGCTAAGAGTTCACTGAATCATATATTTCTGTTTTGTAGTTGATAGTAACTAACAGTGGAATCCATGATGCACATTGGGTCCTAATTGGGGACTCAGCGTCTGGATCCACCCTCATTCTGATTGAGTGAGTGTCTGCGAAAATACCACAACCTTCTTTACCCAGTGGCCTAGTAGATAATGCTTTGATATTTGAAATGATGAGTGCTGAGTTCAGGTGCAATTGTGGATGGACGTAAACGCAATCGATAAGACACAAAACACGCCTCCTAGATTCCCGCGCTGACCGCCACCAACCAACTAAAATGGAAGACAAACTATCTGTATATTTGTGTGCTTGTTACTTAATACAGGACTCGAGTGGTTTATTCTTTGTCTTCATTAATTTATAAGAGTATCACAGGCCTTCTCATCAAAGGAATAGATCCAAAGTACTTGGAAAAGAAAATAATGTCAACGGCAGAGTTCTTCTTTATTCCTAATTGTCTCATTTTATCTGAATAATATACCCTATAGAATCATACTGTTATTCAAGCTTATACTCTCCGTTTATCACTTGCACGTCTATTTCTCTTTAGAGTGCACATTATCATACTCATAGGGAAAAAAGCAACACTTCTTGTTACCATTCATGTGTCAGTCAAAAGTCATATTAATCAATCAGTCATATTTATCATTTCACTTCAGATAAATCACTCACAGATAAGCCTTCATATAATTAATGCTCAAAAGCATTATTGTTGAAATAACAGCAATAATAATGATAATAATAAAAACATGACTGTTTCATGATATTCATACCATCCTTTCTCCTTCTTCTCTGCTTAATACTTCTTCCTTTGCTTGTCTCTCAATGTGTCTTTATCTTCCTCATTTCTCTTTCTTTCCCTCCCTCTCTTCTTATCTCGGTTTTTTCACTTTCTTTCAATTAAAGAGCTTGATGATTTTATGTTTATGAAGATTGATTTCTCTGGCTAATTTTTCAGTTGTTATTTTTATTTTTTTATTTCTCTGATTATCACTTAAGTAAATTGGTCTGTTAAAGAAGAAGAAGAAGAAATAGGGGTTAGAAGGTGACAAATACTCATTCATTGAAACATCCTCACAGGGATACACCTAGGTACGACGCACGTACGCACGTGCCGTCGTATACACGTACACGCGCCCACACACACACACACACACACACAAGTGTACACATGTCTACCTCAAAGATAAGTAGAATATCATCAGGTGAAATCAGTTAGTAAGTCAATTCATCAAATTGTAGACTATGACAAAAGAAAATCAGCAAATTATAAATTGATGTGTTAGGAAACAGTTATAGGAGTGAAAGTGTTTGCTTATCTAAAGAAAAGGAAAAATAATAATGTGTTCTATGTTGTAAAGCAAGATAAGAGAAGATTAATTGGACACATTGTTGATAGTTTTCATAAAAGTAATTCTAAATTAATTAGTTATTTAATTAACTGTAAATTCACGATAGATTTGTTCTCATTTTATGCAAACTATCAGTTGATAACAGTTTCTAGATTTTAATTGGTGGGTAGTGATTTGAAGTGGAATCCAGGATAAGCATTTCATCCTATTTAGGACTCATCATCTGGATATACGTGAAATCTACAGTGTGATGATGTTCCCACCGAGGCTTGAACCCAGTGCCGGTAGTTTCAAACGTCACAGCGTTATCCACTTGACCACTTGGGCCACGAGAGCCACTCACTGCGGAATGCGGGTACATCCAGTCGACGAGTCTCAATTAGGACGAAATGCGCATCCTGGATTCCACTGCCAATCACTTTCTACCAATTAACTTCTAATTGCATGCCCAGCCAGCGTCGAAGCATCTGAACAAGAAGCCGACCTGTCAACCTGAAACCAAGTACTTTGATCCAGTCAATCGACAGAAAAATCTGAAAAATTGAATTATGTAGTTTTACTATGTGTTTATAGGTTTTTGAAATATTTAGGAATCTATCCGTAGCAGTTAATATACATTCAGATTGTAGAAATTTATAAATCTATGTACGGATCAGTCGGGTGCGATTAGAACTGATAACAGCAGACCGAACTAAACGACTAATGCAGTAATAAACAAACAATAGGATGTCATTCATTCATATGACATTTTCTAATTTTAGTGAAGTAATGATCTGGTTAGCAGCAAGGTCTCGTAGTCTCCAGCTGGTGGAAAGCTGGACGAGTAATCCAGAGATTGCTGAATCGAATGCTGTTGTGATCTAAAATTTCATTTCAGCTTCAATAATCCATCACCCATTACATTTGTAGTAGTCTACCAACCCGACGCTACATAAAATAGTCTCGGCATCAATGGGGATGCGTATAGTCCACGATAAATGTAGATAATTCCGAATGAAAAGATTGTTCAGCTTATGCCCATGTGTCGCTGAACTAACTAGGCTTGTCGATCACATCTTTTATCGAAAGAAAGATGTACATGTGTAACTACAGAAAACAAAATCTAGGCAGCAGATCGTTAACTGAGAAAATCAAGAGATATTTATCGATTTTTATGTACATTGTCGTCAGCTGAGAAACATAGTCTTCTAATTGGTTGTTTTCTTGCTGAAAGTTATTCTGTATTGCTTGTGACCATTTCTCAGGAAGCTAAGCCATATATCTGCGAATCTTATTTGGACACGTTAAGTCTGCTGTGATTGGTTGGTGAGTTCCTCAAGGTCAAGCTTTGTTATTGTTCCTTCTCACGACCTTGATTCGGGATGTAATACAGACGTAAATTGCTACCTACAATTCTGGCTTGTTCGCAGCCAGATCTCATCATCCTCATCCCCCCCGTCTGATAACTTCTCGTGCAGGCTCTCCGACCTTCTGGATTATACATTTTCCCGTTGATGGTTGCTATAGGCAGGCTTGTCCCACTGTATTCGTCGTTCGATCTGACTGGCGTTAACTCGTTTCTCTTTGTCACCTCTTCTGATAGTATATACTTGACCCCGTCTTTTGGTGACTGTGTATGTTTCCTCCCACTTTGGAAGGGGTTTTCGTGAACCTGACCCGCATCCAGCTGCATACCTTCTATCTCTACACTTCACTTGATTCCCTACTGCGAAGGTAATGCACTGAGTCTTTTTTCTCTGCTCAGACTTCGTGGCATCCCCCGCTACTTCTGATTTACATTCTTGACTGCTTCTTTCGGTTCTGATCTCACTTTCGTCATACTCCGCTTTTGCTGAAGGGGCTAGGTCTCGTTATATGTCGATGATCGTGGTTTTCTACTATACATCAGTTGAAAAAGGTGAATTCTTTGTTGTTTCCTGGGCTGTAGCACGATGTGCTAGTAGAATTAGTGGAAGCTTCGATTCCAAGTTACCGCACTTCGAGGCCAGCCACTCCTTCAGTGTATGGTTGTTCTGCTCAGTCAGGCCCATCATTTGTGGATGTTATGGCGTTGTTCTGATCCTCCTGATGCCCAGCTGTCGCAAACGGGACGTAAATTATTCACTTTACAAACAAGGATCTTGGTCTGTCAGTATCGTCTTTGGTACACCGGGATCTCCAGTGATATGTCGGACTACTGCATCTGTCACAATCTTCGCGCATTGGTCTGGGATCGGAATGGCATGTACTCATCGTGTCGTTTGTTCTGTCATTATCAAGAGGTATTGGTTACCATATGATGTTTGAGGAAATAGACCCATTACATCTACAGACTATAAGTCACCTATCGATGCAACTGAAATCGACTGTAGCATTGGTTGTATGCACCGATCGCCTTTCATCAGCTGGCACTGTAGACATCCAAGTACGTATCTTGCTACGTCTTCTCTCATAACTAGCCAGTACATAATTTGCCTTAAGAGGTCGGTTGTTCTGGCCACCCCTGTATGTGCTAGCTGGGGACATTCTTGTATCATCTTGTGGCGCAACGATTGAGGTATTACGGTCAGCCAGCTTCCATCTTTCTCTTATCGAGTCAGAGTCCCGTAGGCGTTCACCCTTAGTCGATCTCCCTGTCGGAGTAGTGTGGTCAGCTCCTTACTTGCTGTAGCTTAATCCACTTCTATTCCGTTGGCGATCACCTGTCTTATCGTATTCAGAGTGTCGTCCAACTTCTACCACCTATGTTAATATGTAATACTTTTACTTTATCCGACCCTACTGTGTGATAACATGCAAGTGAGGGCATTGCACTGGCCGAGCCTTCTTCCAGACTATTTAACTAAACTTAACTAAATTCTCATGTTCCCATAACTCAAATGACCTTGATCTACTATTTTTTCACCTATTTACCTATTCAACTGACCTCAGAATGATTATATAGGATTTCCGTAAATTAAATTATTTTCCCAGTTGAAGCTTTAGGACGCCCGAAATTGTCTTTGAGTAAGTTGGTTAGTTTTGATATCATCCTAATTCCAGACTTTTTAAGAATCTTAAGTAAGTCCTCTGATTTTCTTGCTTTATATGCTAGTACTCCCTGTGCTTTGAATTCTTAATTGTTTGCATTACTTTCACTACTTACATTGCTACTTGTAGTTTTCTTATGGATTTTCATATATTTTTGGATAAAATCTGGTTAGCAGTTATTCACTACCAACGTTCCCCGTACTCATCTGATTTTATTATTTATATCTCCTAACTTTCTAGTTAGGCTTCTGATTAGATTATATAAACTACTTTTACTAATTTTGGGTGGGTTGATTCAAAATCTGAGTACTCACTAGAATGTTATGGTTTTCTATCGACTCTAGTATCTAAGCACAGTTAACTTCCATCGTTCATTATGTGACTCAAAATGAATTGTATTCTACCTACTAAGGAGTTTATATGTGTGAATAAATCAGGGATATGTTTAGATTTAATCACAATGAATGCAATGTCCGCACATTTCGATCGTAATCTAGAAAAAGGATTAAACCTTCATACCTGCTCTAAGGTTATGCTGGAGATATATGAGCTTCTTTTTCCGCCAATTCATAATTTTCGTATTCATAATAAACTGATAGCTTGGTTACAGAATTTCAACATGAGCTGACATTAGTTAGAGAACCATCGGAAAACCTTGGAGTACTAGACAGCTGTTTCTTCCTAATTTGGGACTCTGATAGTTCAGTTAACTACTAAATGGTTCAAGTGCTATCGTGACCCGGATTTTCACTTCAGTCATGACTAACCATTACATTATGAGTACTAGCTAGTTTATTCTGCTTTATTCTCTAAGACAAACAACATTTTTACCTTTTACTTTCTCTATTTATTTTCGAAAATAGAATAGTAATCTTCTCCAAGCGTTGAATGCGTTCAAACAGTCACAACAAAATCCAGACGAGTATGGAGATTATGCTAAATTTTCTGATATCGAAAAACAACAACTTTCCCTATCAGAGTACAATGTTAATTCACCAGAATCCTCCTATCTGGGAATATATTCATCGCCATCATCATCGTCTTCAATGAAAACAGTTAACAGTCAACACATTAACAATAATCTGTTAAATTCACCGGATCAATTAACACTTGAAAGTGAAAATCGTTATGGTAGACTAAGTAGTATAAATCGTCGTACGGAGAATCGATACATCAATCTGTCTGATCAAACAATCATAATCACATTAGCTTCAATATTTCTACTATTATTCTTTACTACCTTAATACTGATCTGTTTAATAAAACGTAGACGAGATGTAGAGCAGAGGAGGCTGGAAAGAGAGAAGAATAACTATAATGGTAATTTCAGATTACAATTATTTTACGCTTGTCAATGATTTCTAAAATAATGGATTACCTTTTTCTCGATTGCTTACTTTTTGAGTGGAACATAGGTCTTCAATCTTTTGAAGTCTCATTAGTGAGGTGCGGTTGTTGGCTTCATGTCCGACCTTCTCTCTTTTCCAAACTAACTAGAGATAAGTAAACTAGTCAGGATTTAGGAATGTGTGGTGTGGAGGTCGAATCCGGACCTCTCGAGCGGTTTGCAAGCATGCCACCAATGAAATGCTGATGCGAATTATTATCTAATTTACATGCCCATCTCACAGTAGGAAATCTCCATTTCCACCATGGTTGCGGAATTGCTTTAATTGATCAGATGGTTCGTTTATATGATCTGGATCATAGGCTTAGACAATGGACTTCCAGACAAAAGATCCGACTTGCAAACCCTTCTCCACCTACTTTAGTCTAAGCTGCTGAGCAGTAAGTGCCATCACCCCTCAGAATTGTACAAAAAAGAGGCTGATCCAGGAAACTTAGTTCCAACGATGATGTCATTAGGCTAAGTGGACACTGACTTATAGGTTAATCAGCTGTTGATTATCGAACGACCTATTGTGAGATGAATTGCCTTCGGAAAATATATCTGACAACTGATGGTGAAATAGATGGTGAGATAGACTTGAATTGCTGGACCACTATTGATGTAATGACGGGAGAAGGAATAAGAATCTGGGTCAGAACGGATTCATACCACTAAAGTTTTATCAGCTGCGCCAGGACACACAACTGATACTCATCTTTTATACATTCATGTGACATCTAAGCATCATCCGTCACAACTGCAATGAAGTATCTATTTGTCAAATTTTAATCGAGCAAAAGTGTATGGTTCCCATAAATTCATCTGATCAGAGGTCGTTATTACTGATTAATTTATTTAGCTAAACCATGTTAATGTCTTAGGCAGAAAATGGAACGCAAGTGAACCAAGTTCAGCTAGTTATATCCAATGTCACATAAAATCGAAGACTTACAAGCGAAAACCGACAAACTGGTCGAACAAGCAGCCGGCGAAGACAGTACTCCAAGTGAACATAGACAAGACGGAGGTTATGAAAATAACCAGCCAACAACAACAACAGCAGCAACATCCAGCGCCAATCACCATCAACGGGAGGGATTCGAAAGAGGTTACTTCATTCACTCACTTATCTAGGGAGCATTGTCTCAACTACAGGCAGTCAGAACGGACGAGGATGTCAAATCGAGCGAGAATCAAGAAGGCGATCGAGAATCACATTCATCAACCTAAAACCAATCTGGAAATCTTCGTCACTCAGCATCAACAACAAAATCCAGTCGGATTTTCAATACAAACGTCAAGTCTGTCACTTCTTCTATACGGATCAGAAACTTGGTGGGTGGGTCACATAGAATATTTACAGCAGCCTTTTGCAGACCTTTATCAACAACTGTCTTCGCTGGCTCTATACTGAAGATCAGATGGCCAGGCCGGAAGGAATAAATAACAAGAAACTATGGGAACAAACAAACAAAACAAGAACCAATCACCAACCAACAAATATGCAGGAGAAAGTGGAGATGGATTGGACACTCGCTGAGGAGGCCGCCGCTGGGTGACATAGCGGGTCAGGCCATTGGTCGAGCGGAACCAGGCCAAAAGGGAAGCGGTGAGTGGGTCGTCAGTGTAAGGGTGACATGGAGGAGATCGTGTGAAGAGGAGTTGAAAGAGTATGGACTAACATGGATGCAGGTGAAAAACACAGCAGAAGACAGAAGCAAGTGGAGACGTTCAGTTGAAGCCCTATGTTCCACTAGGAACCCAAGGGAACAATGATAAATAATAATAATAAATTAGTAAAATTCCACTTAGTTTCTGGAACACACTCACACACAAAAAAATACATATTACTCAATAAAATTAATCGGAAGATGTATAACCAAAAATTGCCTTAGACTTTCAACAGAATTCGTAAAAGAATTTCAGTCTTAGAGATTGTACAGATGAATCATAATGGAATTTGGAGTTGTATTCTTTCTGATAATGTATTCAAATGTCAATGTGAGCTCGAGTGACTCACATCACTGTTTATAAAATGTTTCAAATTGTTATTCACTACTCACCAAAATGTAAATGACTGTATGTATTGAAGTACGTATCGCAATTTATTACTATATCTCAAATCATTTTGTTCAATTCCAAATATTTCAAAGAAGACAGATGAAAATAACATTATATATATAAATGCTAATATTAAAGCGTGCTAGTCAGATCGAGCTGTTCTAACCAGGGGGACTCGGCTTACCAGTGGTACGCTCAAAGTTACTCAACTTAGAGAACCAAATCAGCTTATTTATACCGTTCACTTTCTGGCTAACCACACGGATGAACCTATAGCACATAGAATAGTGTAAAACACTACTGTTCTTTGCACTACTGCATGAAGTTCACAGCTCAAGGCTGCATTTTAGGACAGCTTCCAGTGGCAAGCTTATTTCCTATTGTGACTGGAAGATCTTGATTGTCTTTTGGTAAGTAGTATTCTCTACAGTAGAGAATACTCACTGATTCGACAGTGATCACAAGCCACAAAATCTAAATTTCATTAAAATAATAGTTGAGAAGGTTTATTATTCAATTTTCTCCAGACTTTGGTATTTGAACGGGGGTGTTGCATCACTAGACTCGGTTGAATCACTCCATTTAAAAAAACTGATTATCTAGTCAATAATTAATTTCCTCTCTTTCTTCCTTCCTCTCTCTCTGTCTCTCTGGTTATCCTCCACTCTCTGGATGAAACCTGCACATTCAAAGGTCCTACAAATAACATTCATGGTACACAGACAAGATTAGCCTCTCCAGCATCCAATAGTTTACATTGTTCAAACAGTCCAAAATATAATGAATTAAACAATTTACCAAATTTATATCCTTTAATACTACATGATAAATTCGATAGTGAGACAACGCCACGTACAGATTTCAATGATCAACCAGAAGATTATGATTCGACGAATATGCCAAGAATTTATGAAACTTCTCACAGGAATAATTCATCAACACCAAATTTAGGAATGATTTTATCGAGTAATGTAAGTGTATTTTAAGTGTTTTTCTTTGCTTATTTATCTATTTGTATATGTTAATTGTGTCATCTGGTTGATAGTGGGTCCTGAAGGTGCATACTTTCTGCTAGTTGGAACTCGTCATCTGGATGTACCGGTATCACAGTAAGTGATGGTGTTCCAGTTGAGAATCAAATCTAGTACCCATTGGCATGCTAGAAGCTCACATATCAACAAATACCGAGTATTTGATGCAGTAATATTGAAACCAACGGGGAATTCAAAATATATTCGAGGATCTAACGTATTATCAAAGATATTTATTATTGGTTATTGCATTGAATTATATGTAACTTTATTCTGATATAACCTGAAGATAAAGATTTCAATCCCTGTCTATAGAGAGACAATTATGTATTCGAGATGGATTTTGTTACTAAGCTAGATTAGTTAGAGAAATAGTGAAAACCAAGAAGTGCTGAACAGCCAGTTGAACACTCTTCAATACCACAACCCCAGTAGGGGTTAAATCCATGACCTTTAAGTGACAGAGAAAGTATGTTTATCATTCAGTCACTAGATTAGAAATGAACTGTTCACGAATTGCACTGAATACTTAGTTACCAAAAATTACACTTAAGCCAGTTCTTCTATAAGAGTCAGAAACTTCCACTACGTGTTGGGAGAAGCATTTTCAGCAGGTCGCAGTCTTTAACCAATAGCTGCCCACTTCGCTGCCTAGCTCCATAATGAAGAGCAAATAACCGGCCGGGTGTCCAATAACAAGAAACTCTGGCTGGGAAAAAACCAACCAAGAGCCGATTGCTCAACAAATATGCGGGAGGAAATGGAGATGAATCGAGCCATCATTGAGGAGGCCTTCGAACGGCATCACGCTTAGTGCAGTGCAATCTAGATGGGAAGCGACGAGTGGGTTGTCGGTGTGAGGGTGACATGGAGGAGATCATGAGAGGAAAGATGAGAGATTATGGGCAATCATGGATCCAACTGAAGAGGATAGCAAAGAACAGAAGAATGTGAAGGTGTGTTGTTGGAGTCCTATGTTCCACTCGGAACATAAGGGAATAGTAATGAATAATAATAAATTACACTTTAACGCCAAAATAAAGTAATTTTCTTATTTCACACTCATTCATTACTATTTGTTGAATAGTTTGTAATAATTTTACATTTATGTAATGGGTGATCATTGAAGGGGAAATGGAAATATAAGTTATCTCAGGATTCGAACCAGTCGTATCCAAATCTCTAGTTTGGCATTAAACCGATTGAGCTACACGACTCAGCTGCTAACTAGATTATCATTTTACTATAATCACCAAGGGTATTGCGAAGCTACCAAGTGAGTGAATTGTATGTTAGTGTCCAATTTCCGTCACACTAGCTGATCAATTCAGTGTCCTCTAGTCGAACCGAATCATCCTTAGTAAGAAGGAGAATAGCCACTTGAAAATGCATGGCGTTTTCATCTGGGATAGTTTTACATTACGAAAAATACCCATTTATTCATAAGCAAAAATACAGTTTGAAAATGAAGTCGTTGAAAAGAAATTTCTTCACTGAACAAAAAAAACTGTGTAGTTTTACATTAACGGACCGTTATTATTGTGGTGGGTGATAATTATGCGTCTGTGCCGGTAATTTTCTGTTAATATACCTCAATTCTCCCCTGTTCCACTGCTTGGTACCTTCAAACTAGCAATTATAGGTCACAAATTTAGGCGGCATCAATTCATCTGCTTCATAAGCCTATGTTTTAAAAAGTTGGCTGATCAATTCAGTCTAGATATATAGACAGGAAACCCCACGTCTATACAAAAAATTTGAACACATCCTAAATGCAGACAAAGGAGTTTTCGTAACTCACTAACTTGTCAGATAACCTTTTGTAATCCGTATGATAAGTTTTGTATTCAAGCTACAGTCATAAGACTGAATGAAATGAAACTATAGCCAGCCAAGGAGTCCAAAAGAGAACGAAAAGCTCACCCTACTTTCAACACCTTATTTCATCCAGACTTTTGGTTTTGCACGGATTCTGATTAATGTGATTGGTGATTTCGTTACCAAGCGACATCTGTCAGAGAATCACTGAAACACAAGGAGCTAAGAATAGCTGCTTTATTCTACTTTATCACTAAACAGAGATCAATCCAGGAACTTAAAGTTATAAGGCGAATCAATTGATTATTTAGCCCCTGGGTAAATTAATCAGAATCCCTACAAAACTCATAGTGTGAACATCAGGTCACTAGAAGCTCCTGGATGGATTCCCTGAGATTCTAATTATAAGTTGTGGACGGCTGGGCTCATTGTGTCAGGGTCAGGAAGATGCCCATTGATGATACGGGTATGAGGTAGCAATATATCACGAATCGACAGAAATTGGAACTGACGGGTCATTGAATTCTAATCCAGTAGGTGTGGACTGGTTAATGGGCCGGACTCGTAGTCTGAAGGTTCTGGTTTTGATCTGTGGTTGGGTCGTAGATGCACACTACTGAAATGTCCCAGACTAGGATGAAGAAGCTGTTCATAGCTCTTTAGTTCTCATTGGTTCTCTAACTGATGTCGTTTTCATTTCCCAAGCTAGTGACTAAAGTAATTAAACAAAATAGCATGAAATTTAAAAAAGAAACTATTATTCATGCATTTTTATATTATCTCATAATGCTCCAATTACAAATGCATATAAACTATTGACAGGAAAACTACTCACTGATCAAAGAAAGCAAATAGAAGAAACCTAATTTAATAAGATACGACAAGTTTAATAAACAGAATTATTTGTTTATTTCTTCTTCCCTAACCCACTCTACCCTACAAACTCCCTTCTATCTTCTCAACTTAAACAAATTGGAGAAGTCTTGTTATCAGTTTTTGATATCATATCAATATCAAATTTCATTTGAAAAGTTTCATCACATGGTTGATCCATTTTTATACTTATCAGTTTAATTTGTTTGGTTTTATTTTTTTATTTTCTGAAATGTACAAAACATAAACAAGAATTTATGAATTTTTTGACCTATATATATATATATATATATAATTTAAATTGATTGATACAAGCGGAAACATGATAGATGGACAGACAAATAAATTGATGATGGCGGATGATTCTTCTTCATTGACTAGTTACTGTCCTTTCTATGATGGGGGGAAGGAGAATAACGTTATCATTAATTTTTCAAAGATTTAACTGTATATACTACTGATATATATGTTTATAAGTAGGATACACTACAGTTATCCACATAAATGTTGTAATGATGGGCTTAATTCATATTCATTGTGAACGAATTTCAAAGTATACTGACTTCAAAAGTTATTTATTTCGTAATAAAAATTCTGCTAACAAAAATTAAAACTTAAGTATACTTCTCCGTGTGATTTGGTGGTTCAATGTTAGAATACTCACCAGCTAAGCAGAAGGTTCAGTTTTGACCCTAAACCGACTCACTCCTTAATCTTGTCTAGTTTACTAGCTGGCATGTAATAAGTCCGAAAGAGAGGAAAGGTCGTGTATGAGTCTGGCAGTTCCAACCTGGAAAAATTATCACGGCTACTGTAACTTCTACGGTTTGAATTCCCGTATTCCACCGGGAACTCACAAGAATGAAAACGAATACTTCACCACAATAACCAATCAGTATACTCAATATAGTCCTGTATGAGGTCAAACGTCGCCTGAATAGCTACCACTGCAGCATTGACTGACACAAGTGTTAGTCTTCACAGACCATCAGATTCAAATCTTTCTGTTGACTGTCCCCAATCATTATAATAAAGGATTTTGTATTTCCCAATGAATGAAAAACAAAACGGTATTGTTTTTACTGACGTTTCGCTATTTAATGCTAATAGCTTTATCAAAATATTATTAAACCGGAATTTACAAAATCTCAGCATATATATAACAAAGAGTTAAGGGGTGAGAAAATAAATGTAGGTCAAGTTAAAGGGACATATTGAAAGTCAAAACAACAATGAAGATCACTAAACCGGATAACAAAGGTAATAGTACATCTGTTATGGTATCCAAAACAAAGTTTACTAACTTGATTATCGTTCATCAGTCTGGGGGCATTTTTCGTTGTCAAGTTGGTCAATTAGTAGAGATAACAAAATGAAGTGTAGATTGTTGGATTTGATCAGTGTGTAAAATTATAAAAGTAGTGTGTGTCTACATAGTGAACTTGCTTATCACATTCGTGTTGATTTTGTCACTTCGTTGGAGAGGGGAGGGAAGTGTTGTAACCAGGTCAGATTCTGTCCTAGTCCATCATTCCTATTCAGACAATTTGGATTCCACTTGATATGAAGTACTTCTGATATTAGACGTTCTTTGTGATTTCTGAAGTTTTTCTGGATTATTTCAATATTGTCAAAGTTAATTTTGTGGCCTGAATCTCTAGATTCGTGTAGACCTATGGCTAATGATTTTTGAAGTTTTTCTAGTTCAACTGGATTTTTCGATGGTCGAAGAGATGCTCTATGGTGTTCGTTTCTTCTGATTTTGATTTCTCGGGATATTTGTTCGATGTAGATCGCATCACATTCCAAGCAAGCATTTTATTTTATAGATACAATTAGATAGAGAATCTTTGTGGATTTGGTCTTTTATATGAACAAGGTTGTTTCGTAGTGTGTCTGATGTTCTGAAGAAAACTCTAATGTCGAGCTGATTGAGTACTCTTCTGATATTGTCTGACGTCTCTGCCCTATATGGAATGACGACTGTTGAGGTCCACGTTTTTGGAATGCGTTTTCGGCCATACTTAATGTCTGTGTTGATTTTGTTGATTAAGTTCCTTGGGTAGTTGTTTTGCTTGAGAGTTTCGGTAATGCTTGATATTCCTCCTTCTTTTTCTTTCTCATCTGTTATCAGAGAGTGTGCTCGTCTAAGAAGACTTGAAACAACTGAAATCTTTGCGCTGATGGGATGTGATGATCTAAAGTCTAAATATTTATTGGAGTGGATTTTCTTCCTGAATATGGATATA